GTGGTAATGCAGTATATTTTGGTAATGATAATAATGACGATGATAATAAATAGAATAATAATAATAATAATAATAATTATTATTATTATTATTATTATTATTATTATTATTATTATTATTATTATTATTATTTCTCGAATTTATATTGCACCAGTTCTCAAAAGAAGATCAAAGACTCAACGCATGTGAAAGGCCACCGGAAAACAAATAGGTCTTAAGCTGCAACTTAAAGTTGCAAATGGAGTTGGAAGAAGTTATGTAATTTGGAAGCTGGTTCCAAACAAAAAAAAGTAAAAGAGCATTGACCGTAGGTTTTTTTACGCCGTAATATTGGTGACAGAAAGAAGTGTTTTGTATTCAATATACATCGACTGTTAACTGGTAATTGGAAATCATTGCTTGTCTTTATGTATTGAATAAGAGAAGTTTCATTCTTTAGCACAGTGAACTCCTTAAGTGTTCACATATGACTAACAAAACTGTCCTCTGTATATAGATTGGTCGTAGTATTAACATACATATATTCCTTTGATTTGAAGCCAAACACTGTCCCTTGCATAGGGGTCACTCTTAACGGAGGGGTTCTAATTATCTGCAATTACAAAATTAACTACAATTCTGATGATTTAGATTCGTTGCTAACAAAAATTACTTTGCATTGAATGTAGTTCTGGTTTGACTTAAAATATACTTTTAAATTATTATTTTATAAATATATACAAAAAACTATAATTTTATAATATCATTATATTATATATAGGTTTGCATACAAAAAAAGAGATATTTAATATGCAAAGCAAAGGTTCCTTTAGTAATTAGAATTGTCATTTCTTTTAAAATCAATCATCATCGTTTATCGTCAAAGAATATTAGAAATACATTTCAGGTATAATTGAAATAATTGTTTGAGTAATATTACTTTAATCTTACTTTTAGCAAAAACCATAATTTCAAGATTATCGGCCATTTTAAATGCGTCATTTTGAGGTAGCCTACCTCAAGTGGAATTTTGGTAGTTTTAAACTATTCAAGGACCTACATTTTTAGAAAATAATAATTTTAAAAAATTGCTGGTGGTAGCCTGCTGCGATTTCCAATTCGATAATTTCTGTAGTTGTCCATTTGGGCTTAGCCTGCTCGCCTAATAATAATGGACCACGATATCTTTCTGTTGGTATAAAATGTATATAGGCCTATGCACCAGCTTTGTATTTGTATCATTGCCTGTACTTTATATAAGTCTATAAGTTTATTATCCTTCAACATTATGAGACTGCTAGTGAAGTTTGATTATTGTTTTTCTATTTTAAGATGTTACGTTTTGAAATACCCACTCAGAGTTCGCACTGTCATCACTTTCAAAAGAAAACTATTAATCACAGCCTGTATCTGGGTGATTTCAACTTTGTGTTCAATTCATGTTATTGTTTACCCTGTAAGTAGCCCGTTCATTAATTGCCATTGTTTTTATAAATAGTAGTTAATAAGTTAAATAAATTCCCAATTTAGTGCCGAGTAACAAAAATAGGCCTAGCACGCATGACAATAATGATTCATACACTTTCAACATGTTAATCTTTCATTGTTGTGTAGAATAGGTTTTATGTAGGCCTACATCATTCGATTTGAACGTGTTCAGTGGTGTATCTATAGGAGTTATATATTGGTTTTTGGGCAATAAGTAGGAAGCTCGATGATTAAAGTGAGAGATGTTACTTGCCAAATTTTTCTAGTGGCGGATCCTGTTGGGATGGGCGCAAGAGTTTTGGTTGGCGTGCACTAAAAGTGCTCTTCTTCCCTCCGTCAAAAATGCCGTTAACATGTCGCTAAATAGTAAATACCATAATAATAATAATAATAATAACAACTTTATTTTATAACGGTCAAAAAAACTCGTTCACCCAAGTGGGTGTTCTTCCACGAGGCCGTATGGACATTAAACAAAATAATTGTGTTAGATTAAAATAATTAAGTGTTAGTACAAAGAAAAAACAAATATGTATAATACATAATAATGGTTTTTACATTACTATGTTTCTTTTAAAAAGTTCTAGTGTGCTTGAATTTTTTATATTGCTGTCTAAATTATTCCACAAAAGAGCCCCCCGGTAACATAGACTTCTTTTTTTATATTCCGTTCTTGGCTTGGGTACGTTAAGGTTGTCATTTGACCTAGTGTTGTATTTACTTTCTCTTTGAATAAATCTATTTTTTAAATAATTAGGAGCTAAGTCATTCATTATTTTGTACATTGTGATATTTTCATTTGCATTTGATCAAGATTAGGCCATTTAAGTTCCACAAGTGCTTGAGTACTTGAGTCATATTTTCGTTTTTTGGTAATAATTTTAGCTGCCCTGTTTTGTAATATTTGTAATTTATTTCTTAATATTTTGTTGCACCTCCCCCAAACTATATTGCAATAGTCAAAATGGGGTGCAACAATAGCTTTATATAGAAGGGATTGTAAATGAGTGGGAATTAAATCACTGGATTTCTTAAGAAAAAATAAGCCTGGAAGAACTTTAGATCTAATATGATCAATATGCGTATTCCAATTTAAAGTTTCATCAACGTGTACTCCTAAGTGTTTACAATGATGAACTCTTTGCAATTGAGAACCATTTATATTGATATCTAACATGCACCTATGTTGGTCATTCCACATAGGCCTAGTGTGCATTTTGTCTATGAAATTGCTTTAGTTGTTAACCAATAACAAATATATGTTATATTTCTGTAGCTAAAATTTCTTGGGTGGATTGATTTAAATGACGAGTTTGACAAGTGGCAACCTACAACACAATTTATAATTCCGGCAGTCATCGTTGTAGTATCTTGCGTCATTACAGCTGTAACACTTATTAAAAGAATACACAGTAATCGTTTACAAGAGTCCAATAAAAGTAACGTGTCCACAGGAAATTCTCTCAGAAATCCAAAAAAGGTAGGACTATAATCTAGCTTATTGAATGAAATGCGTTCACAATTGTTAACAATAATATGTTAATATATAATAATAATAATA